TTCATTTACTCTTTTAATTTTTTAATTTTCATAATTATTGTCTTATATCATATTTAACTTATAAAATATCTTTATTTTCTTACCACACTATACATATAATTAGTTGCCAAACAATGTCTCCTCTTCAAAAATCATCTAATCACCAATATACCATATGATTTGTGTGTATCTTTAAAAGTCTTATTATTTTCATTAATTATTGAATTCCACATCTAGTTAGTTTATATAAACACTGATTGTTCTACAATTATGTTAGTTTATATCATTCATCATCAGTTTTCATTTTATGTATGTAGTTTTTATATCTCTATCAATTTTGAAATGATACATATATTCACAATTATATGCAGTGTCAATAGACATCTTGTTGCCTATGAAATTAACAATTTTTTCAAATTATATTGGTATTCTTCAACTTGTGAATTTGTTACATTTAATTGCTAATATAGCCTTCTCCATTATTTTACATTTGACTTACATTAATAACCAGGCTTAATTTTAACAATTGATACCCAATCCAAAATGTCTTTCCAAAATTAGCCGAATTTCAAAAATTGACATGATAACACATTCTATATCAATTAGAAGTAAGAATATTACAAATTAAATAAAAAATATCAATCTTTTAAAAATTTATAATATTATCTTTTTTTAAACTGCTATTATATCATTATCATTCATAGCCTGACTAATCAAAATGAATTTCAATACATATTGTTCAAATAAGGCATAACTATGAAAGTTTGAATCATTACTCCGACATATGTTCCTATATAGTAAAATCACAACCGTCATTGATATATGCATAACATTTCTAGTCATTTGCATGTATATATGCGAAATTTTAACTCTATTTTGAAAATATAATAATTTTTTTTAAATATCATATCATTATGTGTAAATCAATTCATCAGATCATATATATTAATATATCTGTAATTGAATAGTCTAGGCCAATTACATTAGTTTGATATCTTGATAACTTTTTAGATTTCAACCTCAGCAATATATACTACTATGTACCAGTAATATAATGTTATAATACTGGGGTTGGATCTTCATGTAGTGTGGTTTTACAAGCAAAATAAATTTCGTCTAATTGCACTATGAATGTCATTAGTAGACTACCATAATCATATGGTAGATTCTCTAGTGCCTACATAAGTATGTGGTATATGTCACAAAGAATGTCTCCAATCAGGGAGCTGTATTAATGAGCTTTTATAAAAATTTACGGGCGTGTTAGATTCCAATAACAAAAACTTTAGGGTAGCTCCAACTGAGATAAGATATTTAACAACTTCAAGATGACCTTCTCTTGATGCTATAATGAGTGGAGTTACTCCATAATTATTCTTTGCTTCTTTATTAGCTCCAACTGAGATAAGATATTTAACAACTTCAAGTTTACCATAATATGATGCATCAATGAGTGGAGTATATCCATCATCATCCTTTGCTTCTTTATTAGCTCCAACTGAGATAAGATATTGAACAACTTCAAGATGACCTTCTCTTGATGCCTTAATGAGTGGAGTGCATTCTTCAATAGCTTTTGCTTCTTTATTAGCTCCAACTGAGATAAGATATTTAACAACTTCAAGATGACCTTTCCATGATGCTATAATGAGTGGAGTCCATCCTTGATTATCCGTTGCTTCTTTATTAGCTCCAACTGAGATAAGATATTTAACAACTTCAAGTTTACCTTTTTCTGATGCCCAAATTAGAGCTGTACCATCATATTTGCTCTTGATTTCTTTGTCACAGCCACATTCAATGAGAGATTTAACAAGTCTCAGATTTCCTTTTGAAGATGCTTCATGAAGTACATTTGTACCATAATAATCATGATTTTGTTTTTTCCAAAGTCCTTCTTCACATGCTTTTTGCATCATTTTTTGATTTCCTTTTTCTGAAATTTCTTCAAAGAATTTGTAGATTTGATTGAAATCTTTGGAATTTTTAAGTTCGGAAATTTTCGAAAGAAATTCTTTTGGTAAATTGATTCCTTCTTTCTCTTTGAGTTGAGAGTGAAGAGTTTGCATTTCTTTCTCAACGTTTTCTTTTTCTTTTTGGATCAGATTTAAATCTGCTTGAAGTTTTTCGATTTTATTTGCTGTAATGGATTGATTCTTTTGTAATTGTTCTAAAATATCAATAATTCCTTCGAAGATTCGCATCTTCATGTACTTTTGAACTGATTTAAGTGTTGAAATGGCATCTTGTAAGTTGTTTATTGAAATATTTGCACATCGAGTGCAAGTATACAATTCGCGTGCTGAGATTACAGAACGAGATTGCGCAAGAAGAGAATTGAAGTCATCAGGTGCTAAATTCGCGAATTTCATGATTGATTCGATATCTTCCACTTCGAATGTGCTAAAGAGATTATCCTCTTCAATATAATCTTTGATATGTGAGCCAATATATTCGTAGTTCAGAACAATTCCCCGACTCATTAAAATTTGTAACGTTTTTTTTTTGCAAAAATCCGAGCTTGACTTCGTTTGATCATCGTAGACCAGACCAAATATATATATATATATATGTATACATCCTACAAAAGAATTAAAACAAGTACTTGGTTCTTATCCATCTCATCAACAGAGGGCGCGTAAAGGGTTGGCGTCCTAAGGCGTCCTGATGTAAACTATTCAATTTTTGAGAAGTTTACACAATAATTGAATAGTTTATGGCGTCCTGAGAAGAGATTTCAATGGGTATGGCGTCCTAAAAAATAGAAGAAAATGATTTTTTCTCGATTTTTCTAGAAATTGAATTTTTTAAAAAAGAAAAAAATCAAAACGTATACATTCAAGAAAGACTATAAATGAAGATTTTTCTATTTTTTTTCATTCTAAAACATCTTTTTTTGGATAATTTTTTTTTTAATAAATATGTAAGAAAGATTGAAGAAAAAGTAAATTTACTTTAAGAAAATTCGTTTTACATGATGTAAGACCCATAACAACTATAAATATTCAATTATTTAAAATAAAAAAAGAAAAACAGATTAAATGTATCTCACATCAAAATCCATTGACCTAAGGATGTTAAGTTTCTGTTTTTAAAAGTTGATATTTTTTTTTAATTTTAAGAAAATTAATAGCATGTTATTAGACAATAGGAGTGTAATAAGGGTTTCGTTTTGCTAAAATTGTCACTTTTATAGCATATTTGTTTTTGGATGTTTTGCGAAACCAAAAAAAAAAAAAACTATGATATACAATGTGTGTGTAAAGAAAATACTTTATTTACTAGTTAAAAAATCATTTGGTATTGATCAAGTTTTTTTTTCTGGATAAGATATTATATGGATAATTGGATAGAAAATACAATTATATAATCTTGTACCTGGTTTAATTAAGCTAATTGTTATCAGAAACTTGTAATTTTTATGAATTTCAGATTTTCTTTTAATTACTGCTTTTCTTAATAGGTCAAGTTCTTATTTACGTTATAAAGTATGATATTTACAAATATCAAGTTATCATGTTTTTTGAGAAATTATGAGAAACAAACAAAAATGAAAAAGATAGGAATAGCAATGAATAGTGATGTGGGTATAGAAAATGTAAGAGATATGAATGCAAAGCAATCAGTATTTAGGATATTGACCATAGATTTCGAAAAAAAATGCTGCATATTGAGCGAAAACTATGATTATATTATAAGGCTGTCATTTAAAGCATAATGAAACTATTCCCTTTTCATTTTAATCGAATAAGATAGTAAAGATTTTTGAATTAGCTAGAAACTAATGAGATGTTTTCACAAATCAGATTTTAATCTCTATAATGCATAATTCACTCAATATCTCAATTTTGATATTGCGAGATATTTTTGCTATCGGTTTCGCAATTTTGACACAATAGCAAGAGGGTTCTATAAGCATTATTATCAACGTAGAATCTGAATATCATATCAGAAAATGTCGCAAATCTGACATTTACCCGACCAAATAGCAAAAATAATTGAATACTTTTCGCAAAAACTTTAAAAATCGATAAAAATATGAAATATAGATATTAAAGAGACTTTTTATATAATATTCATAAAGATTTTCCAAAAATATGATACCGCAAAATTAAAAAAGTGACGTCTTGAGTGGAGTCAAAGGTCGAAATTGCTAGCTAAATGTTTTTTTAGCGAAATTGCGTATTGTACGTTTTTTTCGCAAAACGAAACCCTTAAGTGTAATGATATTGACTAAACAGAAATGAGAGAATAGAGATATAATTTTGATAAGCAATATTGCGAACAAATTCTGAAGTAAAATCGCGATCAATAATTGAAAATTACGATCATGTACTGAAAAATGACGATCGAATTGAATGAATAGAATTATATCTAAGAAAAAATAAATTGTATTTAGAAGATGAACAAAGAAAGGTGTATGCTAAAAATCATTTAACAATAAATGGAAATAAAACGAAATTGTTAAAAGAAAAAAATGAAAATTGTTAAATAATATATTATTTTTTAGTCATAAGAATAAAAATATAGTAGTTATAAAAGGAATTAGACTTCATATATCAATTCTTTTTCTCTGTAGATGTGGAACGTTTGCTTTTCGATCTCTTTCGATGAACTTGAAAATATAAGTTATTATCGCTGAGAATCCTTTCCGAAATAGGAGCTTTACGTTTAGGAGGATTGTCGGATGAATTTTGTTTTTTATTGTTTGATTTTGTTGTTATGGAAGATTTTTTCTTATTTTTTTCAGAATTTTGCTTGCTATTAACTGAAACTTGTTTTGACGGCCCAACAATAGCATTTGTAGTAGGAAGAATTCCCAATAACGAGCGCATTTTCGATAATTGTTTTTCAATATGATCAAGAAGGTCCAGCTTATGTTCTAGATTACTAGACATTTGATTTGTAGAAGGATGGTTTTGATTTTCTGGTTCTAAATCTGTAGAGTCTGCAATATTTGAATTTTCGGAGCGAATTGGAGCATCTGAACCTTGATTTGTATCGGCTTGCTCAAAATTAGTTTGAATTGGAGTGGATGAATTAAAATCTGGATGATTTAATGTTTCATTAAATAATGCCATAATTTTTTCTCTTTTTTCATTAATAAACTTAGTGATCATTGTATCTTTATCTGTTAGATCGATCGATTTGAGTATATCTGCATCATGAACTGGAATATTTTCGAACAATGAACTCGATTCTATGGAACCATATGGAGAAATCTCGTTCTGAGCCAAAGAAAGATCACTTACGTTGTATTGTTTGATAGAAAAAATTGTTTTCTCAAGTTCTTTTTGAAAGCAGTCAAGAATATAATTTTTGTAGCTATCAGTGATAACGGTTTTTATATGGCGCTCGATCTTCTGGTTATTTTTGATGGCGTTATATTTATCTAATTGGATTTGAGATATCTTCTTAATAGCTTCATAAATGTTTGGATGTTTTAACGAAGAAAATTCTGAATGCATACTCTCGAGGCAATCATTAGTGAATATTGCAGTTGCATTATTATATTGAGATATTAAATTGTAGTGCGGCAACCAAACTTTGTTGAAATAATCAATATAATCTTTGATCGAATCAACTTTATTTTGATTAATTATATGCATTGTAAGTACAAATTCTTCATGAGACATGAATGGAGTAATAGAATATAGCTTAAATAAAGAATTTTGTAAAGTATTGAAATTTTTTGTATAAAGTGCTACAAGTTTCCTGTGTAAAGCTTGTTTGAAATGAAATAGGCATCCAATTATACGGACTTTAGGGAAAATTTGTTGAAGTGCCTCTATCATTCCCTTTTCAAAATCACAATGAATTTGAATTAGCTTTGAAAATTGAATACCCTTGACAGTAAAAATATATTCAAATGCCTTCTTATAAGATTCAAATGTGCGGTTTTTCATGAATATAAATAAAAGTGGTAGATATTGATTTGTTGAAGGTTCACAAATCATAATTGTTAGCATCTGTCCTTTTTGAAAATGTTTTGGTGTAATTTTAAAAGTTCCATCGCAAAATAAATCTGTGGCTTCTTTTGCAAATTGAATTGCCTTCTCAAAACCAAAAAACATCGTCTCACAATTTGCTTGAAAATCATGGCCAATGAAAAACTGCTCGCCATTTATTAAACAAAAATTAGCAATTTCATCGTCTGTAATTTTTTCTCCAACAGAAAATTTTCTGGACTTATTATAAACTTCCCTGACCAATGAATCTTTAATTAATGGGTTTTCATCAGTACCAACAGCAAGTTCTGTCATAAATTTTTTAATCTGCTGAAAAGTGCCGTTGTCTTCAGAAAATTTTGCCATTGCCTTATTGTATATTTCTGTCAGAGTCATTGATTTATGAAGATCATTTTTTTCATTTTGTAACTTTTTAAATTGTCTGCATTCGGGTATATGTTCCTTTTGTAAATCTTCGGAAACTGAACTGTTCTCAATTTTAACTAAATAACGTGCTTGACAAGAATGATCGATGCAACGGTAGTAACGTTCAATATTATTTGAATTAATAATATTTGTATGATCATGCGAATAAAGCATATCTTTGCGAACAATTGTATCAGGATATTTTCCAGTAACTGCGGGAATATTTTTAACTGCAATATAACTAAAATATCTTCTGACAGCTTTAGATTCATTTTCGGCGTATTTAATATTAAAATATTGAAGAACTTGTTTGATTATATTCGTTTTTTCATCTCTCGATGTTGATTTTTGGTATTTATCAGATTGTTCCCTGATAAATATTTTATTTTCGTCTGTAAAGTTTGCTCTTTTTTGATTAAATATAGATGATTTTCCCATTAAAAAATGAAATGATGCAAAATTTACGAAAACCGTTCGAAAATTGAATCAAAAATGAAAAGTAATACTTAAATGAGGAATTCTTTGAGATATTGGTCTTAGATTGAATGTAGCGTCATTCTTATATAGAATATATATTCATATCATCGGAAATATGATAAAAAGCATATAATAAATGTCAAAAAAGTGAACAAATAAGCAAAGATATTTTTTAAAAAACAATGAAAAGTAATACTTAAATGAGGAATTCTTTGAGATATTGGTCTTAGATTGAATGTAGCGTCATTCTTATATAGAATATATATTCATATCATCGGAAATATGATAAAAAGCATATAATAAATGTCAAAAAAGTGAACAAATAAGCAAAGATATTTTTTAAAAAACAATGAAAAGTAATACTTAAATGAGGAATTCTTTGAGATATTGGTCTTAGATTGAATGTAGCGTCACAAATTTCACAAATATAATTTACTATACAATTTTATTCATTTTTTTAAAATGGCTGACGACAGTCTGTATCAACTAACTCAACTAGTCAAGCATAATGATTATTCTTCGGATTCATTAAATCAACTTTATCAATGCATAAGTACAATGACAGAAAGATCAATTGGATGCTTGAATTGGGATAAATTTTTCAAAAAAATCACAGTGACTGATGAAGTTCTTTTACATTTTTTAGCATCCGTTTTAAACATTGAAAAGATATCAGAATGTTTCAAGGATTCTATTTTTTATCACAATATTAATCTTGAAAAATTCAGTAATTTAACTGAAACAGAACAACAAACAATTTTAAATTCCTACAAAGCGGATAAATTTACATATTACATAATGTGCTCACAAATTGTAAAATCAAACTGGAACAATTTATCCCAAACTTTAGTTAATATTGCAAATCAATATTTGCCATTTTTAGATGAAGAAAAGCAAATATATATATTTACTGAAATAACTGGCAATTATCAAAATTTTGAAATTTCAGTTGCAAACTTGTTACTTTTTTATGAAAACAATGAAGAAAAATTAAGCAACTGTTTTAATTTAACATTGTTCCAGCAAATTTATTCCAAAAATGGAATCGAGCAAATGATATTTTTTGCTGCAAATACAATTTGTTGCAATAACACTTCTATCAATTTTTACAATCTCCTTGAAATTGAAGAAATGAATCCATTTGATTTTTTTTATTTCTCAATTCAATATAAAGAGATATTAAATTGCGATGATTTTCCAAAAGTTACAGAAGTAATCACAGGTTTAATCTCAGCTTCAAATATTAATGCTATTATGCGAATTTGCCAAAAAATTTTGGATAAAATTACATTTTATAAATGTAATTATTGCCATATTACCTCAATATGGAATTTTATCACAAATGCAGCAATAATTCTTCCTGATGAAGATTTATTAATCAAATTATTAAAATTCATAGAAAAAACAGAAAAAGCAACAGATGAATTATTCGAACCGGAGAATGATTTGGGTTTCTATGAATATTTAAATTCGATTTTCTCAGATATTACATCTGCGAGAAATAAGCAATTTCTCTTGGAATTTCTAAATACCCATGAAGATGACTTCACTTATGATCAAACATTGTGAGGTCATTTTTGATCAACAAATTAATTGAAATTCCGATCAAAAAAAATTCACAAATTGGATCAAAAAAATCGAATCTCAAGTTAAAAATAAAAAATTTCTACATTTTTATCAAATTTATATTTTTTTTTCAAATCATGCGAATTGATTGAATAATTGCATATTTTATCCCATGCATCTAGAAGTATGTGTAATATTTTTGCTTTCATCAAGAAATTGTCGAATTTGATCTTAATTTTTTTTGAAAAATATACTTTTAGAAAAAGAAATAGTGATTGAATAGCTGCCCATGCTGTAAAAGGGTTATTTTTACAAGTAAAAAAATTGTTATTTTTCGAGCAAGTCGAGGCTTTTTTACCATCTTATTTTTGAAAAATTTACGAAAAATTATATCTGAAAAAACGCTTCATTTTGATATCTTACAATGATAAAATACCAATGTTACTGGGATATAATAGCTACACCTGGACATCTACTACATTAATGCGTATGACAGGTAAAGTTGATTTCAAAAGTATAGCCTGGAAAGATTACAATAAATCAACGATAATTCAAAAAAATTTCTTATAAGTTAACATAATAAAAATTTAATTTTTATATTGCTTGTATTATACTTAAGTATATAATATATTTAAATCTTAGAATGAAAATTCGGGACGCCCTAGCTATTCAATTTTCCCTTAGGACGCCCATAAACCTCTCAAAAATGTGATGTAAATATCACAATTTTGAGAAATTTACACTAGGACGCCTTAGGACGCCAACCCCCTTTTTTACCATCAACAGATATACAAATGTGTGAAAGTAAACACAATAGAGTTGAATTTAGAGCTTAAGCGTCAAAAAAAAGCAATTGCTACTACACCCCTTTTATACACAATTCATTTTTTTCCCACTTTTCAATTTTTTCCCCCACAATTTGAAAAATCCAAAAATATAATTAAGGCAATATCAGATACTGTAGCTTTGAAGTGTTATACTATAGTTTAAAACGATGTTATCATATTTTCGAAAAGAATATTTTTGAAATTTTTATTTTATCGATATAATATCGAAATTGGGAAATGCGATAGCATCGAATTTTCAAATTTAAGGTCTCAGTAAGCTCCAGTTTTAAGGAAACGGATAATTTAAAATTTAAGAAATAAACACATATATATTATATATAGGAAAACATTTACAATTCTAGAATTAATATATTTTTTAGTATTATATAAAATAAAGGATCCAATTTAATTGTAAAATTATGAATCAGTTTTGATAAATGTTGTCGTGGCTGCGAGAATTGAAGTTGCAAGACTACTCAATGAATTTTGAAGATCGATATTTGGCTTTTGGGCTGTTGCCTTTGCAATTTCAGTTTCTGCATCTTCATAAATAAACTCTTTTGGAGCTGATGAAGCTTTTCTCGAAGCATTAAGATTAACAGAAGAAAGTTTAGAGGTCTTCTTATCTTTTCTCAAATCTTTGATAGATGTCTGAATTTCTGCAGATAATTTAGTAATCTTTGTTTTTGTTAAGGACTTTGTAGTAGCAATTTTTTCAGCTGAGAAAATTGTATTTTCCAAACTTTCTTTTACATCATCTTCTGCAGAATTTGCCCTTTGTTTGAGTTCTTTGATTAAGGCGAGTAAATTTTTCTGGTCATTCTTTACATTTCCTCCTACTTCAATTGATCTTTGAATCAAATCAACACTCTCTTCAACCTCATCTAGAAGCTCAGGTAGTGTGAGAGATTCAGTATTCAGTGATTTCTTTTTAGGTGAAGGCTTGGCAGCGCTGCTTCTCTTTCTTGCAGCATTCTTATCAACTGATTCTTCATCATCACTTGAATATTCGTACTCACTATCATTTTCTTCATCAAATTTGAGTTTTTCTCTTGCTTTATTTAATCTATTTTTCTTGCTATTATCAATGCAAACTCTTACATTAACAGGAGACTGTGGAGTGGTATTTTGGGGCATTTGCATGCCATAAGGCATTCCAACTGGAGGATACATGCCATATTGCATTGGAACCTGACGCTGATATGGAATTGGAATTCCATCGGCTGTGATCAGGGCTTGCGGTGGCATTTCCATCAGCTGGCATGGATAAATGGCTTGATTTCCAATGCTTGATGATGGATTTATTGGTAATGGCGCAGTTGCAAGATAATGCTGAGAATTAATCGTTTGATATTGGGATTGATCCACAGAATTTTGAGGAGTTCTCCTTATAAATGCTTCTGTTTCATAATTTTGAGAAGCTTTTTCATCTGCCGGAACCTTTTGTACTAAGAATTCAGTTTCCCCATTTTTAATTTTTTCTTCTGAAACTTTTCCTGCAGGTTTGGGCTCTACTTTTTGGCGTTCAATCATTTGAACATTATTTTTGACTTCAGCATTAGAATTTGCAGCAAGGCGGACATCTTTTTCTGATTTCGGTTGAGCTACATTAATTTTTTGGATCTTTGAATCAACATCAGACAATTCACCTTTTATATTAATACTCTGATTTACTTTTTGAACTTTAATTACTTTTTCTTGGGAATTTTCAAGCTTCTTAGGTTGAACTATCTTTATTTGTTCGTTCATTAATGGCACAGAGAGTTTTGGTGATGGATTTTCTATAGCAGAATAAGATCCAAGAGCCTCATTATCTGTTTTCTTTGGAGTGAAAAATTCATTATTTGGTGGAAGATTTAGAGGTTCAGTTTCCAAAGGAGGAGGAAGTATTATTGATGATTTGGACTCTTCAGCGATAAATGAGTTCTTTGGAGTGTCTAGTTCAGAAGGGGAATTCGGCTGAACTTCTTTAGAAGTATTAAGGATTAAACTATTGTTGCTCAAATTAGATGAGTTATTAATTGGCGGTATTGAAAGTGGCGTTTTTTCTTTAAATTCATCAAAGTTCATGTTGCATGGCTCAAATGGCTTTAGTTCAAGTTTCTTCAATGCTTTTGGTTCATGGAAAACAGATACTGTAATGTTCTTAATGTTATTGGAATTTCCAAAAATCATTTGAGTTTCAATATCATCATCGCTTTGTTCATCGAAGCTTATTTCAGATGGATTAACTTCTTCATCACTAAGTCTAATTTCTGAAAACTGTTTGTTGCTGTTCTGGATGAAATCTAAACTTTCATTGTGAATTTCTTCCAATTTCGAAATATATCTTTCTTGCTTCATTGGTTTGTTAACTTCTTGAATAATGTTTTCGATATTGTTAATCAAATGGATGTAAGGAGAATCTCCATAATTATCTTCACCCAAAGATATGGTTTTTGCTTCGTCAATCATTGAGCTCAAACTTATTCTGTTTCTCACATTATCAATTGAATATGAACCAGACTTTGCGGAATCTTGGTAGGATGCAACTGCATTATTGATATTCTGAATACATTCAATTATTGTTTCATTTGGATCGAAAACTTCAAAAGGTTTTCTATATGGTGATTTTTCTTCAACTACTTGAGTTGAAACAATGATACTTGTAGTTTGCTGATATGGTCTTGGAGTCACACTTTTCATTCCTATATTTGACTCAATTATTGCCAACATCTCACGTGCATTGTTATTGAAAATGCACCAAGATGATTTGCCCTCTTCATCAAGGAAAATTCTTAAATATGGGCCGTTGACTGCAAATCCAAAAATTGTCGAAAACGAGTAGATTATTTCTGGATCGGAGTTATAATCAACATAGCATGCAATTGATTGATTTGTAATTGAAATAATCCTCAATACCTGATCAGAAACATTCTCCTTTTCGATGAATGTGATCCTGCAATGATAATTCATTGCTCCAAAGCCATTAAGAGCTGTGAGTTTATTGAACTCGTTAATTTTTTCTGAATTAGATTTTGAAATTGCCAGTTTTTCATCCTTTTCCTGGAACCATTTGAAACCGTTTAAGAAACTAATATCATTCTTGGATAGAACAAGTTCTTTGTTGATTATCATTGTTCTGTATTGGGCTAAGTAGATGTGCAATGGATATGCAATTTTTGTAGTGATTAAAGGTGAAAAGTTTGTTTGCCTAAGGAAAATCGTCTTCACAGTAGGGCATTGTTCGGCCAAAGATACACCTGGAATAAACATCCTCTTCTGGTTATTCTCCATCATGAAAATATTCCAAACCTGATGAGGCCAAATATTAAAGAATAAACAACATTTTTCTGTAATATGTTCTGAAGGAGCGTTCATCTCTAATGCAATATACTCCGATGAGTTGCCAGGAAGTATGACGTTAATTAGTTTTACTAGAGGTTCGGCAAAAATTGAATCTGTATTTTTAATCAAAAGCTTTTTAAATGCAATATCATCAGGAATCCACTTGATTCCTGACTGATTAGACTGAATCATTAGTCCATATTTATTGGAAGCGATATTAGTTTCTTGAATTTTAAGCAATGGAATAATATCTGCGGCTGTAAGGGATTCTTCAAATGCCACATCAACAGGATTCTTATCAGGATACTCTTTATATATGCGCAAGCGCTTTGTACTCATTAATTAAACTGTTAGACGTTAAAAATTTTAAAAACACATCAAATTTGAATAGTTTACAAAATTTTTGTTTGTTTTGATAAAAAGTCCACAAATAATTGAAAATAAATCTTTCCTTTAGAAATCCTTTACAGGTTTTTGAAAAATGTCAGAAGATAACTCCATTGTAATTACTGATACCCATCAAATTTATGTTGATTTCTCGAATTAGGTCAAAAATTTCTAGAATCAATTTAAATTTATTATTCAAGTATATAAATCAACCAATATATTCCCATATTTTTGGAATTATCTTCTTGTCGACAAGAGAGTAAAGAATTTTGTCAAGATTTTAGCCGATTAGTATGATTCTACTAAGATCAGTATAATTTTATAAATAAAATGAAGGAACAAATAGATTAATATCGGTAATGATTGCTAATACAGATAACGTACATCATTTTTTCGTTATTATTCTACAGTCGGATCGAAATGAATGAATAATATCACAGATGTATCATAATACCGGGTGATTTTGTATTATCCGAGAAATCTCGCTCAATATTTTTTGAATAATTTATTGTTGAATGCAATGGTCGCTCTAATCTGATGATATTACTAAATGACATTCAGTCAAAATTGATCTCATTGATGATTGGTAAAAAAATTTAATATATCTTGATTATTAAGGGTTGACCGACCTAAATTGAGAGGACGTAATCCTCCCGATTTTTACATTTTCAGCCTTGGTAAAATACCCTCGAAAACTCAAAAAAATTGACTTGTGTCCATTTAAAAGGGTTCGTCGAGAGGTGTTAAATTATTGATTTTCAGGATCGTAACTCATAATTTTTTACAATCATATTAAAATTATGCGAGAAAACAAGCAAAAATATTCGTTATTTTAGTGTCAAATACTACAAATCCTAGATTGCAATATATTTTAGCACGTAAAATTCCAAAATTTACCGTAATTGAATAAAATTTACAATAAACATCAATCCATTCTAGATTTTGCATATTGTTAATGATTTCCATACTATTTGTTTGCAGACTGTTCTATTGTTAACCGCGATTGTCTAAATCAATTTCATATAATTAAAATTTACAAATCCCATGCGATTATTATTTCTTGTCTGCAAAACACCTGTGCAACCTCTTTAAATGTAGTTGCTTCAAACTATTAAAATACCAAATTTATTTATTTTATTCCCAAGAATGAAATACATTGACTAGAATTCTCGCAGTAAGCGTTATAAATATTGAGAAATATTGTGAAATAAATGTCTTGTTTACTAATTTGTTCGATTATTTTTAATATTTTTTTCCATTATGTTGAAAAATCAAAAGAATTTTTATTATTTTTAAATTACTAGGAGTATTAATGAAAATTTTAATCTCCTATTTTTATACAGAGAATGGTAATTGGATGATGAATCATTAAATATCTGAAATTCTCGCGCATAAGCTTCGGTATTATAACTCAGTTGTTAGAATCAATGCTAGCAAATATTTAGACACCATCTAAACATGGTTCATTTCTGATGCATATTTCTTTTTTTACTTTTTTCCAATTGAAATCGAATTTTACAAAACAGTTTTTTATGATAATTTCTACAAAAATAGAATTAATATTCATTTACTAAGATAAACAATGTCAAACTTTTAAAAATTAACAAAATCGTTCGTATCTTTTCAGGAAGGTATGTCGGCGAAAAAAATTTGTATACCAAATCAAATAACATCATATGAAGATACTATTAATTGTACGTATTCCGATTTTTGAGCAACTTTAGAAATCGATTTCACGATTTTGGCAATTTGATCATTTATTAAATTACTATATATGTCGTAAAATGATATTCAATTTTCCAAAATTGTGTATAGTGCCAATAAATTTTACCGAAATAAATATAATGGGAATGATATACATTTTATGGCAAAATATTCATATCTATAAAAAGGATTTATTCATCTTTAAACAACTATTTGAATATAATATCTGTATATTTAGATATTGATCAGATTTCAACATCTGAATAATTCAACGTGAATTACGATTCTATTAAATCTGTTCCACATGGATTTATGGTCTTAGGAATCAATATTTTGATTATAAGATTAATACACAAAAACTTTGGGATATTATTCTCATTTTGCAAAACGCTTCAATCTGGAAGGGCACAATAATATATTTAGCAATAATTAATTCTTTTTGCCGTTTGTAATCCTGTCAACATTCCAAAATGGAGGAGTTTTTTAAAAAGAAAGAAAATTTTTATAGAAAAAAATCAAAAAAATTTATTTTCAAATTATGTTTTTCAAACATTTAATCATCAAAAACACAATTGCTAATATTCATTCTTTCTATTTTACTATTCGAATTGTACGATTTATTCTTTTTTTGCTAATTTATTAAATATGTCGAATCAGCGGAGGAGCGCTGTTGCAAAATGATCTATGATGTGTAGCGGTGTTTTGATAAAAAGAGGTCGGTCAACGTTTTTGAGTTTTTTCGACCTCATTATTTTTCTGATTTATCTGTTGCATTATATCAAAGGTACAATAATGCATGATATGTCACTATTTTTATCTAAAAATTCCAAAGTATGTCTGTAAAAAATTTCTCCATAAAAAATTTTTCCAATCGAAAAAAAAATTGAAAATTTTTGAAACTTTTATAGAACAGTTTATTGACCGAAATTTCATTCTCATTCCATACTTCTCATTATGCTAAAACATAATCTGAAACAAGCATGTTTAAAAAAATCATAGATAACGAGATATTTGATACTTAATATCAATAAATTTTGAATACCCTCTCAAAAATTGAATGGACGTCGGTCAACCCTTAACAAACTTGATTAGAAACTATGTCAAAAGGAAACATGAACCTTTCACCTGCATCCTAACATTATATTATCGTTATATGTTGGCAATCGTAAGAGATATGTGATCGCAATTTTTTTTATTTAGATTTCAATCAAAAGCAGATAAAAAATTTTGATTGAATTTTCCAAAAAAATACGTTGAAATTTCATTGATTTTATGACAGAATCACCTCCTTCTTGTTGTAATTTTCATTATGAAACTGATCCAAAGGATTTCAAAATTACAGAAGAAGAGCTTGACGTCGTTTTTACAGATAGAGATCCAGATGAATTTTTATTAGAAATCAAAAACGAAACGTTTACATTTACAAGAACAAGAAACAAGTCAAACATTAACAAATATACATATACATGCTCACTAGGCTCAGATGCACATGCTGCGCTGCTTCAACGTTTATTCGAACAAGGAATTGCGACAGTTAATTACAAGAACGCAGAGTTTTTCCACGACGCCTCTCTAATCCTTTGCATACCACGTCTTGAAGACCTATCTTCTAGTTATATGGAAAATGGCTTTAGAGAAACTCCATGCATTAGCATTCTTTGGAATATCCTGAAGTGGTTTGCAGCCTTCTTAAAGCAGGTTAGTATATTTACAAAGATTGTTTTAGTATTATGGGATTTAATCGGAGTTGGAATTATTCTGGCTTTCTTTTTCAATACGATCCTTATGTTTGCAACAATGGGCTTGTACGCTTTAGCCAACTCTCCTATTCTATTTGTTTTTGTTTTACTTCCGATCGTTTTATACAGTCTATTCTTCGTTAATATTATGACAATTGCCGTTCATGAGTGGTTTAAATTTGCTGTATACAATCGAAAATCTCCACTTTCATCGTTACAAATTTTGGGAACCAAAATTATCAAAGTTACTAAGTGGGGCAACTTTATTAAGCATAAATACATTCATCTTGGAAGAAAATACGATATTTTCCTCGGTTTTCTCTTCGTTGTATTTATAATTGTATTAATTGTTTCAATGTTTACAGAATCCTTCGTTTTAGGTGTTGAATTATTGATATACATATTCGCAGTTATACTTCCACCAGTGAAATATTTCATTGTTATCATTTTGTACTCAATTCATGCTTATTGCAGTTGTTTCAAGTCATGTCGCTTGAGATTTTTAGAAATCAACGACTATAATGATCCTTTCTTAAATGCTTTATACACAAGACAGCATTTGTATCAAGCTGTTTTATATTATTTCCGAAATAAAAAGTTTCATGCGAAACTGACTATAACAACGACCAAGTTGACAACAATGATCAAGAAGAAGAATTATCTGAAATAAATGATGACGAACAACCACCAAATAATTTAAATACAACTCAAGTATTTAATCAACCTCATGAATTCACAGTGAAACTTGATCTGAGGGAACCATTGAAAGATAATATATGGAAATGCATTAAAGATCCAGTAAGAATCGTTCTTGAAGCTATATTTTCAAGAAATACTGCTTCAATTTTTGTTTTAATTGCAGTTATTGTTTATGTTGTTTATTCCACTGCATCAGGAAGAAAAGAAGCCATTGCAGAGTTCTTCTACACATTCATTGTATATATAATAATTGTTGCTCCTTTATCTACATTTCTGATTTTTCCTTTCTTTTGGATCAAAAGACAAAAAGGTCCTCCAATTACAATGTCTGTTTTAGATGATGAAAAAGAAGATCTTAGAATAACTCAGGAATACAGAAAATATGTTAATGATGCAATAATATGGTCGAAGAACTTCAAGGTTGTTAGATAGTCTAGTATGGTTATCACTACTTTAATTATTGCTATTATTTTTGCTTATATAATTATTGCAATTGTTTTCTCTTTGAACATTGATTTAACAAGAGATGAAATCAAGATTTATTCACAGCCAAACGCAACAGTTGCAGCAGCCTCAATAATTAATGCGGCAAATATATCAACAGTTGGGTTCAGAGAAACACTTGACCCTTTATGTTACATGCAAGTGAAAGGACTAACAACAGAACAAGTAATTACTTTGGCAGATTCAGCTTATTATTATACAAATGACAGGAAACAGCTAAAAGGTCTATTGTTTCAAGAATACTTCGGATCGGACTATGTTGAAGATCTCGTGGAAATAGAGAGTCCATTCCCGCATGCTCTTAATAAGTGCTCATTATGCCATTATCAAATCAAGTCATTGAATTTGACAGTTTTTTCAATTAGAGGAACAAAAACAATGACTGATGTATTGGCTGATGTCGAGTTATGGATCGGAACTGTTCTAATCGATGCTGTAATGAAAGTTACTCCACTTGTCCAAACATTTGCGCTTTCTTCAAAAGCAGTTATCGGTTCTTTCATGTCATTACCAAGATACATTTTCCACGAATTTTCGTTGATCGATAAATATGTTGGAATTTTCGAGAACTACATAAACTCCGTGAATATTACTAATACAACGGATGCTTTAATAGTAGGACATTCTCTTGGTGGTGGACTTGCAAGAATATTATCTTTGAAAACAGGAATGCAAGCTGTTGCAGTTTCTGGACCTGGAATTTCATGTGTAGAAAGATATTATTATAATCACTATAAAAACATCGAACCTACAGTGATATCGATCAATCCAAGGATGGATATCGTAGCTATGGTTGATAACTTCGATGACCTCACAGAGTTTAAAGTTCCTTGTAAAAGTGGTTTGTTCAAATGCCATTCTGTTGCAAGAACTTTGTGCCAAACAGGTTTAATTTGTGGAAATGGACCGATTCATGAGGATTACTGCGGAAAGATATTCCCTGAAAAGGCATATAAGAAGATGAAAAACCTTGCAGCACCTATTAATTTTGGTACTCGCAATGGTTAATTATATATTGATTATATATTATTTTGTATGTTGTATAGATATTAAAAAATTATTTGTATAGATCACTATTTTTCATATAAATTACCATTATTATAAAGTTTCTAGTTCATAAATGTATAAAGAAAATGAAGATTTGGATGAGATGAAATCGATTACCCCGATACATGTAAAGTCGGAGAACGAATTATCAGTAGAAATGTTTTCTTTCAACTTCTCAATAGAATTTATTGAACAAGAATGCACAAAAATTCACAATCATTTTATTAACGGACAATTTGATAGCATATCACAGATATTATCCGAACTAATAGAAATATTTGATTCATCAGAATCAAAATTTAAGCATTTAAAGATTGATTTTTCAGAAATAAATCAAATTTATCTTCAATTTCAAATTCCGGTAGTACTTGAACAATTGTTAGTGACAACATATCAACCAATAGCAATAAAGTTCATCAGTAGTTCATTAAATATGTCACTTAGCACATTAGAAAGCTTACATATTTTATTCTCAAAGTTATGGGATATATTTATCGAATGCGAAGATGAAGATCTAACAATACTATGCATAGACATTATAACCAAATCAATAAATAGTGAATTTCCAATTGATAATTTTCCTTTAGAAGATTTTTGTGCAAAAATATCAGATACACCACAAATATCACATAGAATTCTAGATTTTTACTTAAAACTTACTCAAACATTCCCTAACAATCTCAAATTAGCGGATTTTGTTTTACCAAGTATTATGGACGTAAAAGATTATCTTTCAACACCAGCAACATTCGAGATTCTCCATATAATATACAAAAATTTTGAAAATCTTAGACAAATTCTTAGAAATGCGTATTTTCTTCCAATCTTTCAAGTTATTGATCAGCGACAGCCTTTAGCATATAATGCTTTTCATTTTATGGCTTCTGTTATTGATCAAACCACTCACGAAGAAATCTCAGAAAGTATCAGATTAGATGACATTTTGGGGTTAACAAATGACTCAGATGAGGCAACTATTGAAGTCCTTGACTTTCTGATTACATGGTTTGATGATTATCTTAATGAAATAGGAGAATCTGAAGAATTAGAGTGTATTCTCAGAGGAACTATCGATTCGTCCTCAATACCACTTGTAATGTCTGGTATTAAGCTATTACTAATGAGGTCCACGCTTACTCATACAAGTTTTTGGATTTTTACAGATTTATGTACTAATATTTCAAAAATGATGGATATTGATTCTGCTGAGTTCCAAAATAACTTTTTGGGACTATTTGATATATCATTAGATTCAGTTAATAACGAAAATATTCAATTTGTAAGAGAATGCGTTAATTTTGACGAAGTCATGGAACAATTTGAGGAATCAGACCAAATATTTTCAGAAAATCAAGAATTGTATTCTGTTATCCTAGAAAATATGACAAAATTTATAAATGAAGCAATTCACATATAAAACAAGATAATCTGAATCTTAAATTATAAGATATACGCCTCATTTGTGCTTCTAGAGCATATGTTCATCCATAATTATCTTTAATCGTCCAAAATAATATTTGTAATTTTATTATTCGGAAAAATGCGTTTTTTCGTAGTAAAAATATAACATTTATTCAAGAATGGTGTAAAATATAATAAATACATCTTGATTATGATTTATTTTCAGAATTTCAAAGATAATTTTCATCTTTAACAATAATGAAAACCAAGTTGAGTGCTTCCTAGGCACTACACCATAAATTTCTAATATGGGGAACAGTTTTTATGGAAATTGATTCTCATTCAATTTCGAAAAAACCTAAATTTAGCTAAATACAGTAAAAATTATTGTGTTTGAATTACGTACTGCTAGTTATTTCCATATAAATAGCACTTTGATTTTTGGACGTTATTTTGTTATTTACAATTCCATTCACAAAAGAATGAGTTTGAAGAACACTCCTAACTCATCTAAGACCAACATTGTGGTCATTAATGAGAGTGGGACAACTACGCCTCTTTTGAAAACAAAGAGGACTTCAAGTCAAGCTCAATCAAAAAGAGATGATACATCTCAGTACGATCAAATAGCGCAAAGACTTATTGATGGTGGGGATGTACACGAAGTCAACCCATCTCAAGTAACTGATGTAATGTGTGCACTTAGACGCGCAAAGAAAAATGCAGAAAATAAATCTGATTACGATACGTTACGTAATATTGAAAAAATTACCGCAGATTTACAGTTAGCATCAGGTGCATCACAATATGACTCTGTTCAAAAAGAAAAAATCGATAATCTCAAGAAAAAACTTTCAGATGTCAAATCAGAATACGAGAAATCCCGCAAAAAGCGCGAACAAGTATACAATTCGTTAATGGAAGAGAAAATCAAAGCATTTCAAGACCTCGAAAAAGTCCAAAATGCAGAACTTGACAAATTAGATAAACAATATGATCAAAGTGAAGCACCACCTCCCAAATTCCGTAAATTATCACCAGAATTGATACAATTAAAGCATATCGAAGAAAAACTTAAAGGTACAGGCAGATATGACCAAGCTGTTCAACTTCGAGAAGAAAGAGAGGCTCTAACAGAATATGAACTTGCTGTTAAGCGTAATGAATGGTATAATGAATGGAGAATTCAAAGAGAAAAATTAACAGCAAAACATGACCAGCAAAAGCAAGTTTTACAAGAACGATATGAATTTAAATGGGCTCGAATCGAACCCGAGTACGAAAAGAAGTTCTCTTACTTCGATAAAGTTATTTCTCATTTAGAATCAAGTCTTCGTTCTCAAAAGGCTCTTAGAAAGGAAGCAAAGGATGAGAGTAAATCAATAATCAATCAGACTCAAAATAGAAGTTTACCTGAGCTAAGTTCTAGATCTTCTTCAAGATCATCCGCTTTATCAAGGATTATTACTGTGAGTGGTACAAAAACATATACTAGACCTAATACACAAGCCAGAAGGCATTAATTATTTTTGTTCGTATATTTTATTTTTAATTGTTTACTTAAATCTTATATATATTCATTCGAGATATTTATTTAACCGTTAAAACACTCAATTTTTGACTTTCGAAACTCAAAATTGGGAATAGGCATCTCAAAATCTTCAATCGAAATAAGAATCAAAATTTATAGGGCTTGAAACTATTAATAAGTATATAAAAGTACCCATCTCTAATATGTAAAAAAAAAAAAAAAAAAAAAAAAAAAAAAAAAAAAAAAAAAGGTAGCGGGGCTTCCAGGCACTTCGTGCCTTCTAGCCCTGAGGATGAATGAGTATAATGAAGTTTTTTTTTCTTGGGGTGACCTTCCAGGCACTTCGTGCCTTCTAGCCCACATAAATGAAGTTTTTATTCGGAGGTCTTCCAGGAGCTTTTCACAAATTATATATGTTTTCATGTTTTGTCAAGACTTCTTCGTAAATGTTTTGTCAAGACTTCTTCGTAAATGTTTTGTCAAGACTTCTTCGTAAATGTTTTGTCAAGACTTCTTCGTAATGAGTGTAAAGGACCCAAAAATAATGTTTAGGTGAAGAGGTGAGATTTCACCTGTTTTTTCACCTCTTTTTTCACCTCGTGAATTTGTCATGATTTCATCGTAAAGACTTTGTCATGATTTCATCGTAAAGACTTTGTCAAGACTTCATCGTAAAGACTTTGTCAAGACTTCATCGTAAAGACTTTGTCAAGACTTCATCGTAAATGTTTTGTCAAGACTTCTTCGTAAATGTTTTGTCAAGACTTCTTCGTAAATGTTTTGTCAAACATGAACGTAAATGTTTTGTCAAGACTTCTTCGTAACGAGTGTAAATGAACCAAAAATAATGTTTAGGTGAAGAGGTGAGATTTCACCTGTTTTTTCACCTAATTTTTCACCCGTTGAATTTTCATGAAATTTACACCAAAAATATACTACTAGGGTCATTTACGAAGAAATCTCAACAAAGTCTTTACGATGAAATCTTGACAAAACATAGACAAGAAAGTTCATGAGAAATTAGATGAAGAAGTCTTAACAAAGTCTTTACGAAGAAATTCATGAAAATTCAAGAGGTGAGAAATGAGGTGAAAAAAGAGGTGAAATCTCACCTCTTCACCTAAAATATATTTTTGGGTCATTTACACTCATTTACGAAGAAATCTCAACAAAGTCTTTACGAAGAAGTCTTAACAAAGTCTTTACGAAGAAGTCTTAACAAAGTCTTTACGAAGAAATTCATGAAAATTCAACGGGTGAGAAATGAGGTGAGAAAACAGGTGACATCTCACCTCATATGTCCTTACTGAAAAAGTATGTGTTCCATCTGAAGTTCTTATATACGGGTCTTCCAGGAGCTTTTCACAAATTATATATGTTTTCATGTTTTGTCACTTTTCTGTCACTTTTCAGGGAAAAACATTTTTATTATTATATATAAATGAATTTTACAAAACCACCGTTACCGTTCTTTGGAAATAAGAGTAGATGTAAAGATATTCTATTGAGAGAACTTAAGAAACTACCGAATGGTCTAACATTTGTAGATTTGTTCGGTGGAAGTTTCTATATATCCCATTTGTGCCATACAATATTCCCAGACTCAAAGATTATATGCAATGACTTCGACAACTATATGGACCGTCTCAAACATATACCAGACACAAACAAAATATTGAAAGAGTTAAAAGAAAAGATACCTATAGGCAAGATGGAACGTATACCATTAGATAAGAAAAATACTGTCAGAGAGGTTTTGAAAAAAGCAGAATATATAGACTGGGATAGTATATCTGCTAGACTATTATATAGTGGTTCTATAAGAGTTCATGACATTGAAACACTTATGTCAAAAGTTTTATATCTTAACTATACAAATGTTTTCAAAGAGGACATAGAAAAATATATTGAGGGTATAGAGTTTGTGAGATGTCATTGGACAGAGTTGTATGAAAAATATAAAGACAAGGAAAATGTTTTCTTTATAGTGGACCCACCGTTCTATAACACATGGGATTTTCAATACCAAGTAGACTGGACTTTGAGAGACTCTTTAGAAACTTTAGACGTTTTACATAACCATCCATGCTTTTACTTTACATCCGATAAAAGTGGTTTGGAAACCGTTATGAGATGGTTAGAGGACATACATGACTATGAGTTTATATATGACAAGATAGAATATGAGAGAGGTCCTATAAACCGGAGAAAGTGTCATAACAAAGAAATTTTATTAGTAAGTAAATGTGGTTTGAAATAGGACTACTTGTTTTAGGTTTTTTCCATTGTGTCATTTATTTATTTGACGTGGCAGAAAAGTACAGAGAATATGAAGATGAACCAATGCCTGCAAATGTTCAGTATATGTACTCGTAAGAGATATTTTTATCTAATATTAAATGGACGCACAGAACTTAGCGAATGCACAGCAACCTGGACAACCAAACCCAGAGAATATTCCAAATGAAGTTAGAATACAAACTGCAATGGCAAACTATGGTCAAGTGCCAACAGATGTACAAATGCAAACTGCCATGTCAAATGACGCTGCGTTAGGTTTGCCACCATGGTATGCAAATATGAGATGGAAAGAGTTTTATACAAACCCTGAAGTGGGATATAAACAACTTTATGCAGATGACGCGAACACAGGAGTTGACCCAGAATATGTTTCTACCAGAGGAGAAACAGAATGTATGAGCTCCAGTTAAAGAATGCTATGGAACTCAACAGGAAACGTAAGAGACTAGGCGGACATTAGATTTTTACATATAGTAAAATGGGTTTCTTCAGTAAGATAGGAAACTTCTTTCGAAATGTTGGAAGAGGTATATGGAATGGAATAAAAACCGTAGGAAGAGGAATTTGGAACGGTGTCAAAAATATTGGTAAAAGGGTAGGTCAGTTCGTTGGTATTATACCTAAAGACCCTGAACCAGAAGAACAAGCTCCTGTTATACAACAGCCTGAACCTGCACCACAGTCTAGTTGGCAACCAAATCCAACACCTCAACCGTATTAAAAAATTATATTTTTACCGTTCGATAGTAGTTGTATATGAAACTAAGTTCTAAGTAAAACGCATGGTATAATGGAATTATTCTTTTTCTTCCATCTGTAGTAAACCATACTTGAAAGTCTGAAATACTTCCACTTGGTGGTTCGTATAACTTTGTAGGTTTTTCGTAAAAGTCATTTGCCAAGCATAAGAAAGAGTTTTGGGCGCCAGAAAATGAAGCATGAACAATAATAGCAGCTGGGTCGAAAACATCTTTAAATAAATATGGTTCATCTCTTGCATATCGACTGTAAATATTTGCTAAAGGAAGTTCGACTTTCTGATTTAACATTCTTTGCAAATAATACCATGACATTGCAGTGAATTCTGTATATATTTGTTCGTCTTTCTTTGGATTGTCTTCGTAGATTTGAAATGACACTTGTGAATTTTGTTTGTCATATACAATTCTCACATAAAGTGTGCTCTCGGTATTTGCATATTCATCAGCATATTTTGCATAACATGAATTTATTTTATCTTCTATATTTTTTAACGCAGTCTGTAGAGAAGATGAAAGGTCAACTTGTATTAGCTCAATTTCTTCCCACATTTTTCGTTTCCCTTCAGATATATAATCTATATGAAACCTTACAATAAATGGAAAACTTTTATCTTCTACAGACACAAACTTCATTCTACGAAAGCCAATAGCTTTTGTGACAGATGGGTCTCTTAGCCATCTCAATGGGTAGTCAAAACGATAGCCTTCATGCTTTACGGTCTCTGTCTCAAACTTTTGACCGACATTCGTAAAAAGTTCATCTAATGGTTTAGTTGTAGCAACTCTTGAATTTTCTTTTTCTATTGAAAGCATATTTTATCTAGAATAAAAATGTCAAATGAAACAGCGTCTATGAGAGAAATACAACACAACCGACAACTCATTTTGCAAGCTCTAAATAAGAACACAACAAACTTTTCAAACTATTCTAAGATATCTGAGTCATTGAAAGAAGGAAACTTAAAACTGACATTAAACCCAATGACAGATGAGTTTCTGTTTCAAGACAAGAAGAACAATACTGTCTGTATAAATCCAACAAAAGGAACTTTAAACGAGAAACCTATAAATGAACTTCTTTTGAAAGCAGATATTGACAACAAAGCTGACAAAGAGTATGTAGACGATGCAATAGCAAAAGAAGAAGAAAGAGCTAACAATGCTTATGCAACAAAAGAACATACTCATCCTGAACTAGCAGACAAAACATATGTTGACAATAAAATGTCAAGTGAAGTGACAAGAGCTGAAAACGAATATTCTAAAAAGACTCATACACATTCTATATCTGAAATAACAGACTTACAAGAAACCTTAAACAGGAAAAGTGCCGTTGGACATACACATACATCTTCTGAAATAACAGACTTAAACGTTAGCCTTGAAAAGAAAGCAGATAAAACATATGTCAATGAAATATACCAAAGTTTAGTTGGAACAAAAAATATTGAAACTATTGTTGGTGACTTTTCTGTCAATGAAGAAAAAAATATTTTAGATGGGAGTTTGTACAGTCCTTAAGAAATGGTATACGGTATAAACTCATTCCGAAAAATAACAATGAAATGTATGTAAGCTATAAAAAGAACGATGGTACACAAGTTAAAGTTCCATTAGACAACAACTGCTACTTAAACTTATATGGAGACGAACAAAAGAAATATTTAAGAGTTTATGAAATGACAGATATGACATTGCCTGACCCAGCTCCAGCACCATATTATTATGACTATGGAGATGACGTCAGAACACCACATGTAGATGAACAAAAGCTAACATTATATTTAGATTTTTATAGATATAAAAGATATAATGCAATAGAAAAAACGAGAATAGTATACTATTATGAAGATGACAGAAATAAATATTATAGTCAAGACTTTACCTACCCTGAAAACATAAGATTATATTATAAAAAATATTCTGACAC